GCACGAGTGTGATAAGGCTGGTGCCTGCCAAGTTCCCTTTGTGCCACTTTGACTGTGGCCTAGTGACATTCAAGCACATTAATGAAATCTCATGCCCTTTGCTTTATATTCCACCCCAGCAAAAGAACTTGCTCACCAGTCCTCTCTCTTTCCTCGCCCCACCTCTTCCCAACTGTTTGGCTGACCTTGCTCCAAGTGTTCTCCTAAATAGCTCCATGTAGCATACCATGCCTCCTCCTCGGGCCTTGAGTACAGCAAATCTTCTTCCTTCTCGTATGCCTCTCCATGGTGCTACTCCATGTCCACATCTGACTAATTAAAAAAAACCATTTAGGGGAAAGCCAGTGGTGGTGTGGTTAAGGCGCTGGATTCCCACATGGCTGATCATGGTTCAAGTCTCAGAAGTGGCAGCTTGAAAATTATGTGGGGTGTGTGTGCATGCATGTCCAAAATAATCCCAGGAGGACAAAGGAGAAGAAGGAATTGTGGTGTGGCCGTCTCACCTGGAGGGGAGGGGTGATTTCTCATTTTCCCTCTTTCTGTCTCTCTCCAGCAAGCACAGTCACCCTATGACAAAAATCTAAAAATAAATGAATGAATTAAAAAAATTTAAATAACATTATTTCTTACAACACAGCAGGCTGAAGGGAATTAGGATGTCAAAGTACACTACCCCAAAATATGCCACTTTGGCATAAAGATTATTTCAAGCTTAAGCCATTGAAAATCAATACATATAGGAAGAGTTCTCTGCCCACCATCCCACCCTCCTTATCCATCTAAAAGCAGAGCATAAATTATTACCCTTTGTAAAGGTATTCCCCCCACCAATTGGATCAAGAGGAGTGACTCTCATCACTAGAGATGAACAGCTGAGATGAGTTTGCATAAACAGCTCTAACTAAAACAATCAGTATCTTCCATTAGTTCCCTCATATATTTCCTAGTTACTTTCCCACAATTTATCATCCCTTGAAGCTCAAATCCCCTTCCCTTTTTAAAGAAGGTATATAACTTCAAGTTTTACATTGTTTTATTTCCCTACCAAAAAATAAAATTTCAGTGTGAACAGGATAGCTTATTCATCCCTGTATCCCTGGAAAAAGCTAGCACAGTTCTTTGCGTCAAGTACTACACAGTTGGGTTTTTTTTTTTTTTTTGCATTTAGTTATTACATACATATTACATAAAATAGCTTATTTAAAAATTTGGTTGTTTCAGGGATCAAGCTTCCCTACATTATATAATCAAGAAAGATGACTAAGAAATTAAACTAAAAAATAACTTGGCATCATAGTCCACCAAATTAAATTCTGCTAAAATAAGTCTAGTCCTATCATAAAGGGCAGATATCTTTACTATTCTCCTGCCTGGAAAACTAAAGTATGATGACCCAGAAACAAATCCCACAGCATCAGAGTACAAAAGTTAGTACTGGGGACCAGCAGTTAGCGTAATGGCTATGTCTCTGAACTTCCATGTAGTTGACCGCGGTTCGAGTCCTGGACTCGGTTGCTTAAACTCACACCAGGTGCCTGTGCGTGGTGCCCAAGATCCCAAGAGGAGAATGGAGGAGAAGGGATTGCGGCATGGCTATCCTCCCTGGCGGGTGATTTCTCACTTTCTGTCTCTCTGTCTCTCTCTGTCTATCTGGCAAGCGCATGCACCCTATAGCAAAAACCTCTAAAAAAAAAAAAAAAAGTTAATACTGAGTAAACATCATTTAAAAGATTTATCTTAGTGATTTAGCTCAGCATGGAATCAGACACCTTTTCAACATCCGAGAAGACATATACAACTTTCCTTCCAAATATCTACTGCCATTATCACAGTTCTATGGTTTAATACAGTTATTGACTGTGATCCTTTTTTAGAGATCAGAATTTTTATAAATTAAAAAACTTAAAAATCAAGAAGTTAAAGAAAGAAAAATCCCATTAGAAAATTACTAAAACCATGGGCAGCATTCATCTTGAGATTATTTGTTACCCACAGAATAAAAATCTAATTTGAAGAGCTATGTTAACTCTTATCGAATCTTTTTTTTTTCTTTTTAAATCTTAAATTTGTATTTCAAAATGGACATGGTACTTCATATGGGCCCATGTTTTATAGTTTTCTAACAATATTTCAGCGAAAGCTGCAAGCATTTGAAATTTAATTCTTAATATGAATTACAGCTTATGCATTATGAGGACATTAGAAAGTGTCTTCACAGACATGATAGACATAAACATTTTATGTGGTACTTTGCCGAGTATATCCTATCAAACACAGAGAGGAAATACATGTTTTTGAAATGTTCATTATTGTCATGATAGGAAAAGTTTAAATTTACTGCAAATCACTGAAATTCTTCCTTAATATGTAAACAGCTGATTAAAAAAACAGTAGAAATTCTTCCCTGGGAGAGACAATTTCCACCTTTTGAGTACATTAGTAGCAGAGAAATCTGCATAACTATATTCATGCAGAACTTCAGTTTAGGTTATTTTCAAATCATAATTATATATGTTCAAAATCCCATCGGTTTCTTCTAAACAGTCTGCTAAGGGGTGAATCTGATCTACATACTTTAGTATGTAAATACTTTTGTGGTTATTTTTCTAGGAAGTTCTGCTTGAAAAATCATACAAAACTAAATGAAAGCTAAATAGTGACATAATATTTGGATATAGGCTATAGCCATTTAATTATGCCCATCTGAAATCTTAATAAAAATCTCAGCCAGTGTTACGTGACTACCGGTTATCAATGTGAACTCTTACATGGTCTCCTCCAGTCACCCAGCATCCTTCTGGTTTTCTTTTCCTTGTTCTAAGTGTGTTAAGGTCAAGAAATGCCTAAGACAATACAAAGAGAAATGATTTTTTCATAGTATCTCTTTTTTTTATTACCAGCTCCTAATGTCTTTCTAATAACAGTACCTATAAACAGAAGGGTACATTTCTATTTATACTGCCACATAAAGCTTCAAGGAAACAATCAGCATAGCAGCTGGATTCAGTACCTATTCACCTGAAAAAAGTTTAAGAAAACACTAATTAAAGCATTTGGAATCTTAGTTGTATCAATACTTCTGTACCTGAAAAGTTAAATGAAAAAAATTTCTTTGTATTGTTTTATTTACTTTGGATTCTAAGGAAACAACTATTAGTGTATATTGCAGGAAAATTAAATGATCTAAAATTGAGTTAAATACATGACTACATATATTTAGGAACTGAAAGTATTAAAATAACACAGAAAATTGCTAAAATAAAATTCAGCTTTAAGGGACCAGCATTTGGCATGATGTTAAGGCACTAGACGCCCCCATGGCCAACCACGGTTCGAGTCTCAGACTTGACAGCTTGAAAATCATGCCAGGCGTGTGTGCATTCATCCCCAAAATCCTGAAAGGGAATGGAAGAAAAGGAATTGCAGCATGGCCATCCCCCTGGGGGTGATTTCTCACTTTCTCTCTCTCTCTGTTTTTCCCTGTGACAAGCACATGCACCCAATGGCAAACAAACAACAACAAAAAAAAATCTTAAAAAAAAAAACTTAGTTTAAAAAATAATAAAGCCTGCTCGGACCAGCAGTTGGCATAATGGCTATGTCGCTGGACCCAGTGGCTTAAAGCTCACTCCGGGTGCATGTGCATGTGTGTGCGTGACCAAGATCCCAAGAGGAGACTGGAGGAGAAGGGATTGCTGCATGGCCATCCCCCCTGGGGTGTGATTTCTCGCTTTCTGTCTCTCTGTCTTTCTGGCAAGCGCACGTGCCCTGTAACAAAAACCTCTCAAAAAATAAAATAAAATAATAATAAGGCTTGTCAATTATTATTGAAAAGCTAATAAATATACTTACTTCTTTGGTAACTATTAAAATAGATGCATTTTCAGAGTATTTTTAGGGCAGAGAAACTACATGGTATTATACTGGTGGATACATGTCATTATACATTTGTCAAAGCATACAGAATGTACACCATCAAGTGGGAACCCTAATGTGAACTATGGACTTTGGAGATACGATGTGTCAATTTCAGTTCATTGACTGTAATAAATGTACCATTCTGTTGTAGGATATTGACAGTGTGGGAAGCATTGCCTACTGGAGAGAAGACGGGATATAGAAAATATCTGTACCTTCCTCTCAATTTTGATGTGAACCTTAAACTACTCTAAAAATAATATTAAAACAACAACAAAAAATGGCTACCAGGTGAAGTGGAGCTTGCAGTGCTGGATCCCACATGGCCAGCTGTGCAGTTCAAGTCCTGGCCCCAGCAGCTTGAGGATCATGCCATTGTGTATGTGTGCTCAGAATCTCAAGAGAAGACTGGAGGAGAGGGAATGGAGATGTGGCCATTCCTCCTTGGGGCCATTCTCACTTTCCCTCTCTCTTGGAGCACATATGTCCTATAGTAAAAGCTAAAAAAGAAAAAAAAAAAAACTAACCTAAAACAATAGTTCAATTTGTCTCAAAGTTTCAAAACAGTATGATGAATGCAATTTCTCTTACAGGTCCATGTGCGCACTAAGTAATATCCCATTTTTCACAAAATGCACAGTGGCAGAGAATATATGTCAACCTCACTTGTACCATAAAATCTAAGTAGTAGAAGCAAGGAATGTAAAATGCTTATATTTTGTAGCTTGAGATGATACTCAAGCAAAGGAAAATTAGGTGCTTACTTGGGAAATTTTTAATGAGATAAACATATCATAGGAACTGGAATGAAGAGGGCACACTCATGTTATAGCAAGGTATACTTCTTGCCTAAAAATGTCACCATCTATCTCTTGGCACGTATGCATAAAGTAAGAAAGAAACAAAAATGGACACAGAGAACTTGGTGTACTTATCAGCAAAAATAAGGTCAGATTTTCCAAAATCAAGGATAGTATTATTTGTTTCTCCAAAAAGTTGCTGTTTATGGTCAAAATTCTTATGATCAACTAAACTGAAACTATCCCTACATACTGAGTTCTAACAAGTACCTGGAAAAAAAATAAATAAAAAATATTTATTTGCTACAAAGTGTTGCCAGGCATGGCTATGAAAAAACATGGGGAAATACAACATTTTGGATTACAGAATAATTTATATTTAAAAAACTAAAAACAAGGAAGTGACCATCATAAAATACTGACTTTGCTTTTTAAACTCATTGAATTCTGCTACTTAAAGTAGAACATATAGATGATACGTATTTCAACTCCAAATAACAAGTACAATATTTGAGGGAGAAAAACAGCAAAATATTTATATTCTTGGTTTTCCATAGGGCGGGCGCCACCACGCCCAATATTCTGGGTCTTCAATTAAACTTCAACCTTCTGTTATTTTCATTTGTCCTTGTCAAAGTGTCATTTCTATTTCTAGTTTCTTGCAAATAAAAAGCTTACAAAATGGCAATGTGATGTCCTTTGAGTAAGAAGGTATAAGCACAGGTCACAAAAGGTCCCCCAATACAGAAAATAGTTAAAATGGTTCAGTTCATTTCTGCTGTGAGAAAATATATAAAAAGAGGTAAACAGTGGAGCCAAGATCCAATCAATCATACAATCGCACTGAAATAGTTAAAGTCTGCTAAGTGTATAATGGTACTGACAGAGACTTGATACACTTGGTTTTGAGCATCTAAGTAAAGCTTAAGAAACAAAAGCAATAACATAATATAGAAATAACTATCTATGGTTGATATTCTCAAAGACTTTATAATTTTTTTAGTTGCTCTAACAATACTACTTTTTTATTTTATTGTCTTTTGGCACAGTTTTAAAACATTTCCTACTCTTTGGATATCTGATAAAATTCATTACATTTTTTTTTATCAAGTTTAGTTTCCTATCAGATCCATTATATACTATAATTATGACTTCCATAAATACACTAAGAAATACATTGGTTTGTCTCTTCCCATTGGTAGCAAATTGAAATCATAAGTCTTCTAAAAAAATAGCAAATTCTTCACCAAGTTAACATGTGATGTTTTCAGGATGGATTTAATTTGTGCCACTTGATAACAACCTTTTCTGGATTTGTAACTGTCTCTTTCCACTGGTTTGCTGCTTCAGTGTTGTTACTGTCTTCAGTTATCCAAATCTGTAAAGCAAGAATACAATTAACTTAACACAATAATAACAGAGTTCACACACTTAATTACTCTTTATGAAAGACATTTGGAAGTTGGTTTATATATTTTCAATTAAACATCTTTCCTTTAAGAAGCTAGGAGAGATATCACAAATTCATTCCCTCTAAAACAATTATTAGTATTCTTTTTTATTTGATAATCCTAATTCAACTTAAGATAAATTCTAGCTACTTTAAAATATTTTTTTAAAGATTAACTAAAGTGAGGCTAATTTCAATCATGATTTAAATTACACTGGTAAGAAATGTGCATTTTAAGGTACCTTTTACATTAAATAAAACTGTAATCTTATTCAATATCTAATAAATTGTCATTTCTGATCCATGGTAAATAATTTCAAAGTTGTGTCAGCTATGTAACTTTAGGTAGTATACATAAATGAGCTTGAGAAAACTATGAAGTATTATGGAAATGTAAGATGTGGCTACATGGCTACATTTCACAAAGACAAGATGGACAAGGAATCAAAAATCCTTAATTGTCACTTCAGCTCTAACATTAACAAATGTTGTTACCTTGGGATTAACTTTTCTGAGGCTTGGACTTTAATTCTTTTATGTAAAGACAGAAGAAGATCATTGTTTTTCATTTTTTTTCCTGGTCTAAAAAATCTTTCCTTGGGGATGGCAAGTGGCATGGTGGTTAAGGGCACTGGACTCCCACATGGCTGACCATGGTTCAAGTCTCGGACCTGGTGGCTTGCTTTCTCACTTCCTCTCTCTCTGTCTGTCTCTGATCAAACTGGAAAATAACAATGATAATAATAATAAATAAAGTTCAATAAAATAATTCTTTAAAAAAAAGAATCTTTCCTTCAAACAAAATCTTATGAATAACCACAATACACAAAACAGTTACCACTGGAGTGCTGTGGTAACCCGGGGTAGGAGAACCTCAATCTATCAATACATTTAGCAACCTTATCATGGTGACTCCTAAGGCCACTGGGAGCAGATGATCAGAACTTTGCCAGAATTGTTATTCTAGCCAGAATTGCAATCGAGATAATGGAATCATCATGAGTTATTCTGGAAACTGTCTCTCAAGTTTCCTATCCCATTCATACGTAATAGCTGAGGGTTCATGATATAGGTCACTTTAACCAAACTTCATAGACCTCATGACTATCAAAAATATGTTTGGTACATGAATACTAGAGTTCAAATTCTTTTCCAAATAAAAACAAAGGCCAAAACTACATTTTAAATTAATACTGTACATAATATTTATTAAAAGAAAATATATGTATATATAACACAAAATGTATGAAAAAGTCATTCAAAGAGTCAATATCAATCTTTGAAAATTCATATATAATTTGAATATTTCATGTAAACTGTTAAGAACATCTTGTGGTCAAGTGGAAGCTTTTGAATGAAAAACACAAATTTTGGAATTTAGATGTGGTTCAAATAATTTTAATTAAGATGAAAGATAACAATGGACAGCTACCACTAATCAATTCAGAGTGAAAAAGAAAAACAAGTTATTACAGCATTAGCAAGTAACAAATTACTAAGAACTTTTAAATATATTAATCCAGACAGTACTGACTGACTAAATACCACAATCACTGTTAAAATTTATGTTTTCTAAGAATTCAAATCTAAGTTAATTAACAGCATACAAAAAAAGCCCGTGCTAAATATTAAATTGAAGATGATAAAGAATAAAGTAAATATGATATCCTTAAAAATATTATGCAAAACTTAGTGTTCCCTCTTTCTGTAACAAACCAATCAGTAGTACTGAAAAACTGCTCTTTCTTAATAGTTTGTAAAGCTTAAGGGCTCATTAAAAAGATTTAAAGATAAGCCTAATTACTCCAAAATTCCAACTATTAGTATTAAAGAAAAAATTCTAACAAGTTTGATTTTTGTGGCAATACTGAATTTTAATCTATGATGATGAAGAATTTTATTCTATTCAACTTCAATTTTATTCTATATTCCCTTTGTTAACCAGCTGTTTAAATGCATAGAACAATACAAGGAAAGAATACAAGGAAAACTACTGACTAACCTGGCCCACAAAGTGTTTTCTTCTTACAGAGCTTCGACTATAAAGCTTAATGAGAAAAACAATTTCTTTTTCATTCTGTATAAGTGGAAAAATCATAGTCTCTCCCCATTTTACTCTTCCATTGGAGGCCTTCAGTAGGCGTGTCTTCTTCTTATAAATCAACTCTCCTGAGCTAAACATTGCCACCTTCACAAAAAAACCTAAAAAACAAAACGTTTTTGAGTATATAAACTTTTATCTAAAATATCATATGAAGTTATACAGTTCCTTATTATGTTTACTGTAAAAATATTAAAAAGCCATTTTTAAAAGTTTAATGAGTTATTGCCATAACAGAAAACATCTCCAGTCAACTTTATAATTTTTACCACAGTTATGACTACTATAATCTCAAATGCATTTAATCTTTCTCTCACTTGAATGTGATCAAAGACTGGAATTATAGGTATAAAGAACAATCATTTGGGGCCAGCAGATGGCATAGCAGTTATATGGTTGTACTCCCACAGAGTTGACAATGGTTTGAGTCCCAGACCTGGTGGCTTGAAAATCATGCCCGGCATGTGTGTACATGCCTAGGATCCTGGGACAGGAATGGAGAAGGGACTGCAGCATGGCCATTTCCCATGGGAGGTGATAGCTCGCTTTATCTCTCACTGTGTGTGTGTGTGTCTCTCTCTCCAGTGAGTACATGTACCCTAAGGCAAAAACCTCTAATAAAAACAAAAACAAAACAAAACAAAAGGAACTATCAGCTGCAAAGAAGTTCACCTTGAAAAGAATTACACAAAAACAGGGGCCAACTCTTTGAATAGCTGGAGGTATTTATTTAACATTTTCTTAAGCTTATTTTTTTTCCTATGACAGAGAAAAAGAGTGAGAAATAAATAGGTACCCTTGCTGGGATATTGCCACACCACCATCCTCCCCAGACTACTAGCCATTCAGGAGCATGTGTAGAGCATGCTCCAGTTGATCTGGAATCTGGACCTAGGACCCAAACCTGGAGCCTTCTCATATGGCATCAATGTCACATGATGGTGCTCACCCATGCCACCACATCTCAGCCAATTTTCCTATTTTATATAGGTAAAATTATTTGCTTGAGACTCCAGAAGTCAAGCTAAGGTCCAGAAGACAAAAAGCTATTCTTTAAATAAATCTGAGATGCAAAGTTTCCAGTAATAATAGAATACACAGCAAAAGTATTACAACCCCTGGTTATGGCCAAAAGCACAAAGAGGGAAAAATGGTTTTGGATTTGTTTTTGATATTTTTGGTATTTTTACAATTAAGTGTCTAGTTAACAGCACATCCAATTAAGGGCATAGACCTAGAGAGAAAATAAATTGTTTAGAGTGGTAAAACATATCTGAGAGTCCTTTGGACACTAACCTGTTCAAAACAATGAGCCTATAAAAGTATCAAATACAAAGAGGTCACAATTGGTAAGAATCAAGAGACCAGTGGATTAAGGCAGACACAGTGGCTAAAACTTGAAATCTGATCTTTTAAAATTAAAAGTAAAGCAAATAGTTAAGTAATAATGTTAATTAAGATTTTAAGCTCCATTGTAAGAAACGTAGGAAAACATTCTATTATTAATACTTCCTAAAGATTCCACTTTGAACCACTTATATACTTACTCAAAGTCAGAGGTGTTGATGAGCTTGGAAGGTATTGTGCTGCGAGGATTTGTAACTGAATCCTGCTATTTACCGCTTGAAAACAAGTCCCCAGTTCAAGTTCTGCATGGCAAACCTGTGTGTCAAAAAAGTGTCATTCAGTAATTAAGAATAAACTTATGAAATATTTCAAAAATTCAGAGTTAAGAGTTAAGGTTAGAAAATTTTAAAGCATTCTTTCTTTTGAAACTCAAAGGCAAAACTTATAAGAGAAGATTAAGGAGATAAATGTCACAGATTCTGTAAATATAAGGTACTTACTTGTATGGATTATGAAAATACAAGTTATACCTACATACCAAAAACTTCACAATTAGTGACACTAAAAGAATCTAAATGAAAAGCAAATTAAATCCTAAGCAGTATAACCAGAGATGTCACTGAAATTTACATACATACATACACACACACACAATTTTAACGCACACTTTCAAAAGCATTAAATGTAATGAACTGAATCATTTTTAAGAACATGTAGAAATGCTATATTTATTTATTTATTTAAAAAATTGTAGGTATTTTAATAAGATCGCTTCAAGAATATAATGTAAAACCAATACAATGCACTATAAAACAATTTTTCCATTGATTTAAATTTAAAAATTGCCTGTAAATTCTGTAACAACATATTCATATTCACAAACTCCGAATGAAAAGTAAACACCACTTTCTATTTCTAATCCAAGGTAATTCACAAGTTCACTTTGAAGGGGATTGAGTTTTGGTTTAGTTTTGCTTTTGATACCAAACACAAACATATAGTCATTCAGAATAAGATTACTTGTTTATTTAACAAAATATTTACTGATGCTCTGAAATAAATTTCACCAGTGATAGCAATGTTTTAAAAAGAACATAAAAAGCATGCTACATTATTTCTCTTCTCTTTTAAAAGTTAAATATGAGGGGCCAGTAGGTGGGCATGGTACTTAAAGCACTGGATTCCCATATGGCTGACTACAGTTCAAGTCCTGGACCTAGTGGCTTGAAAAATCATGCTGGACATGTGTGCATGCATGCCCAAAATCCCAGGAGGAGAACAGAGGAGAAAGGATTGCAGCGTGGCCATCCCCTCCTGGGGTAGGGGGGTGTTCACTTTCCCTCTCATGGTCTCTCTCTCACGAATACAAGCACCCTATAGAAAAAAAAAACTTAGGAAAGATATATGAGAATAATTATTTTCTGATTATTGAAATTAGAGGAGGTGTTACCAAAATCAGAGACAAACATTACTACAATAAGCAGATATTGTAGTCAGTAAACAGATTTTTGGATTAAGAGTTGAATTACTATACTAAATGGGAGCAAGCCAAAGAAAGTTGGCAAGAAGGAAGCTAGTTAAAGCAATGAGGCACTAAATAATAAGGAAAAGGTCAAAGAAAATCTGAGGCAAACAATAAAATAAAGGAGACACAAAGGGGGGAAATGAAATGTGCTCTTGAGTACTGCTGACCAAGAACAGAAAAAAGTTGGTTATTTGTCTGTGAAAAACAGTGCGAACCAGTCTACTTATGTAGATTCCAAGGTCCTTCAAGTAAAAAATAAAAGAGAAAACATAAAGTTGTCCAAACACAAAAAACATTGCTGTTCATGTGTTGAAAAGGATACAAATGGGAATAAAGCAAGAACACGATGTTTACGAATCTTATTAGGCTCAACGCAGACAGATACAAAAGTCTTTGTCAATATTAATTCCAATAAAGTTACAAAACAGCTGAATGGCACTTTATGAAGAGGCTTAGATATCTTTTCTTTTCTTTTTTTTAAAGAGAGATTTTTGCTATAGTGTATGTGCACTTGGCAGAGAGACAGAGATAGAAAGACAGAAAGTGAAAAATCACCCCTAGAGGGTATGGCCACGGCATAATCCCTTCTCCTCTCAGGAGTTTGGGCATGCACACACACGTGCCCAGCTTGAGTTTTAAGCTACCAGGTCTGGGACTCGAACTGCGGTAGGCTGTGTGGGAGTCTGGTGACATAACCATTATGTCATGGTTACATTATATTGATCTCAAGGTTTATATTTATATATAATGCCATTGACTGAGGCTTATATATATATTTTTTTTTCTTTTTTTGGAAAGGTTTTTGCTATAGGGTGTGTGCACTCACCAGAGAGAGAGACAGAGAGATAGAAAGCAAGAAATCACCCCCCAGGGGGATGGTCATGCTGCAATCCCTTCTCCTCCATTCTCTTCTCGGGATCTTGGGCGCACACACACACACACACACACACACACACACACACAGCATGAGTTTAAGCCACGGGTCCAGGACCTGAACTGTGGTCGACTACATGGGAGTCCAGAGACATAGCCATTACGCTAACTGCTGTGGTCCTGAGGCTTATATATTTTTTTTTTTTGGAGAGATTTTCACTGTAGGGCGCGTGCGCTTGCCAGACAGACAGAGAGAGACATAGAGACAGAAAGCGAGAAATCACCCCCCAGGGGGGATGGTCACGCCGCAATCCCTTCTCCTCCATTCTCCTCTCGGGATCTTGGGCACGCACGCACACGCGCCCGGCGTGAGTTTTAAGCCACCGGGTCCGGGACACGAACCGCGGTCGACTACATGGGAGTCCAGCGACATAGCCATTACGCTAACTGCTGGTTCCCAAGGCTTATATATTTTCTTAAAACACGATTCTGTGTTTTAAAATTAGTCATGTCAAAAAAAATGAAGAGACAATGAAAAGTGAATTGCTTAAAAGAGTATAAAGTCAACTGCTGAGGTTAATTTTAATTCCTCCTGGAAAAAGTCTAAAAGATGATAAAAACTTATTTATTTTGGCAATAAATGCTGACTTGTAATAAATGTAATAAATGTTTATTACTTTTTATTTTAATCAGAATGAAAGGAGATTAACAAATAACTTTTCACATGAACTAATTTGGTAGCCCTATATATAAAACCTTTGCTGATTAAAAAAATGTTGCTGTCCTTGGCATTAAAAATATATATTAGAAAACATAATAATCTATTATTTACAAAACACAAAGAAATCATAATTTAAGGTTTTTATTAATCTTTATCTTATTATGGTTTTGTACTCACAATGTAGTAATACTTTTGAAAATGCCTGAAGGTAGCGGCAAAATTTCTCTTACTATAACAACCATAGAGTTCCCCCCCATTAAACAAAGCAGCATTGGGCAATGGGTATACCATTTCCTATTTGTGAAGATTATTTGCAAATTAAATATATGTTTCAGGACCTTAATTCAGACAATAAGAAACTACTCAAGGTGGTTTTCAATCTCTCAATAGCCAACAAATTTAAATGCCAATCAATAGCAGGTATGTACTGGCTGCATTTAACAAACACAAAACTGAAAGATATAGGATATGATCTCTCCTTTTGAATAATGGATGGTTTTAAAATTATTTATTATTTATTTATTTATTGCCCAGAGGGGATGTGTATTCATCAGAGACAGAAAGAAAGCATGTCCAGATGGGGTGTGTCACACGATTTTAAGAAAACAGACAGACACACCATGTGTGTTTTTCGAGCCACTTGGTCTGGGATTCAAACTGTGGTAGGCCATGTGGGATCTAGCTCCCTATGCACAGCACTTAACCACTGTACCACTGGCCAAACTGAAGATTTATTTTATTTACAACAGAGAGTGCATGTGTGTGTATGCATATGTGTATGCATGTACGTGAGATGAGGAGAGAGAGAGACAGGCACCCTTGACAGGGTCTCCTCATGCCATAATCCCCTTTCCCCAGCCATCCAGCTCTTCAGGATCTTGGGCTTATGCCTCACATGTTTTCAAGCCAGCCCAGAGACTCAAACTGCAGTTGGCCACTTGGCTTCCACCACTGCAGTTCAGTTTGTTACCAACTGCATCACCAGGCCAGACCATTGGATTTTTAAACGAGATTTTTGCTATAAGCCTGTGCGCTTGCCAGAAAGACAGAGACAGAAAGTGAGGAATCACCTCCACGCCCCCACCCCAAGGGGATGGCCATATAGCAATCTTTTCTCCATTCTCCTCTTGGGATTTTGGTCACACACACATATGCATCCAGCCTGAGTTTCAAGCCACCAGGTTCAGGACTTGAACCACTGTTAGCCATGTGGGAATCCAGTGCCTTAACCACTACACCATCTGCTGGTCCCCAATGGATGATTTTTTTTTTTAAAAAAAAGAAAGAAAACATTATCAGCTTTCTTGGAATTGTTGAAAATGAAAATGTTAAGTATAATTAGAATAAAAAATTTTAAATCCCATGATCTGGGGATGTTTGAGACCATCTTTTTAGGGAGGGCAATATGTAGTAGAAATAAAGAGCGCTGCTCTGGAATTAAAATGCTTCTGTTCAAATCCTGATTCCCCAATGGCTGGCTGTATGAACTCACGCAAGTGGTCCCATGTCTGATCTCCACAAAAAGGTTAAGCAAGACCTATAGTTGTGTAAGTTTCATGTGAGCATTAGATGGCTTAGCACTGGGTTGGCCATAAGGTAAATCTCTATCAATGTCAGCTAATTCTACAGGTGAACCTTGTCTCTTCTATATTATTCAGCTTATTGAGACTGCAAGTAAACACACACTACTATGTGTCAAGGTCAAGAAAGCTTTACTGAGGAACTTATTAGTACTACATGAAAGCTGTGATATTCATGGCAAAATAGTTGTCAATGTAAATGGGTATGTAAGCCTCATACTCTTCTAATGTCACAATTAGAATTTCTGTTTTTGGGACTAGGAGTTGGCATAATGGTTATGTCGCTGGACTCCCATGTAGCTGATCGTGGTTCGAGTCCCGGACCCGGTGGGTTAAACTCACACCGGGCACATGTGCGTGTGTGCCTAAGATCCCGAGAAGAGAATGGAGGAGAAGGGATAGCAGTGTGGCCATCCGCCCAGGGGGTGATTTATCGCTTTCTGTCTCTCTCTTTCTGGCAAGCACATGCGCCCTCTAGCAAAAACCTCAAAAAAAAAAAAAGAGAATTTCTGTTTTCTTTTTTAACATATGGAAGAAAGCATACTGTTGTTGCTTTAACCAAAAACATGCAACATGCACACTAAGTAACGTAATTCACTGATTCAGTATAGCCTTAGCTCTCCTTTCAAGGCAGCAGTCTTTGTACCCCTAGCATCTGGCATACAGTAGCTATACAAATGTTTCTAAAACCTCTGATATATGCGTGAAATACAATTTTGTAGAAATTTAGCAATAATCAGATTCTCCAAGGCAGATAACAATTTCTCAATTTCCCAGAAAATATCTTCATTGAGTTCTCTTCTAAGTACTGCATTTTTAACATTTTAATATATGAATTATCTACTTGATTAGCGTATCTGTGAGTTCTGTGCAGATTACTGTCTACTAAGTGTCAAAGATATCAGTGCAAACTCCTGACAGAGTTATAGAATAAATTTGCTATATTTTTATAGAAAGTAACAGTCTATTTTGGCAAGCTTCCATTCATCATTTATTCTTCCATACCTACCTACATGCATACAAATATTCTGTTCCAATATGTCAGGCCCTTACTAAGAGCACAGGAAAATCTGAAGAAAACAGATGGAAGTTTGAGCCTAGCTTTTGTGTTTGTTTGTTTAAAAAAAGTAAATAATTATAAGTTGTAATAAATGCTAAAAAAAACCCCAAAAAAACCAAAAACATGAGAGGGTAGAGATAGAAAATAAAAAGAAAATAACAACCATCATAGGGGAGGGAGTTGAGATAAAAAATAACAGGAAAATAACAACCATCAAGAAATTTCTGTTCTTCTGACCAATTATAGTCATCTTTGTTTTTTATTTTTTAATTCCTAATTCCCTCCTCCAATTCAGTAGTTTTCAAGTCAGGTTACAGATTAGAACGACATTGGGAGCATCTGAAAAATACAAGGAACCAGCAGATCGTGTAGCAGTCACGTCACTGGACTCCCACATGGACTCAACCACAGTTCGAACCCTGGATCCGGTAGCTTAAAAATCACACCAGGCACGGGACCAGCAGTTAGTGTAATGGCTATGTCGCTGGACTCCCACGTAGTCAACCGCAGTTTGCATCCCAGACCCGATGGCTTAAAACCCACGCCGAGCGCATGTGCGTGCGTGCCCAAGATCCCAAGAGGAGAATGGAGGAGAAGGGATTGCGGCGTGGCCATCCCCCCTGGGGAGGTGATTTCTCGCTTTCTGTC